AATGAAACTTGTGTCCTGGGAGTTTCAGTACAAAATATAAAGAGTTAAGCACAGTAAAGATATTTGAAGAAATCGAAAACTTCACAAATTTGTCAGAAGACATAACCTACACATTCAAAAAGTACAGTGAACCCCCAAATAGAAATCTAGGGAAATCCATGGCCATACCATAACAATCAAATGATTCCAAAGGTAAAGCCATAGAAAAATTATTAAAAACATCCAGAGAAAATGGACGCATTACTTATGAGGGAAAACAATAGTACAAACAACTGTGGAATTCTAATCCAAATCCATCCATGGTGTCAGAAGGAAGTGACTTTTTTCTACGCTGAAAGTAAAGAACTGCCAAACCATAATTTTATGTCCAGTGAAAATATACTTAAATAATGAAAGTTAGTAAAAACATTTTAAGGAGAAAGAAAATCTTGGATAATTCTTTACCAGCAGAACTGCTTCAAAGCACTGCAGTTCTTCAGAAGGGAGATAACAGCAGAAGGAAATGTGGTCATTAGGAGTTAAGGAAGACAAATCATAACTATTGAAGTAAATCTATTACAATATTCCTTTCCTCTTGAGTTCTTTAACATGTTTGATGATGAAAAGCAAAAAAAATAACATTATCCGATTGGATTTTTAATTTATGTATATATACTTGTAATATATAAAACAACTACAACATAAGTAGAAATGATAAAGAGCTCTATTGTAGTGATAAAATGGTGTTTCTCAGTAGATTATGAAAAGTTGAGCATGTATAATTTAATTCCTAGTGTAATCAAAATGATACAAATTGATAGAGTCAAAACCAAAAAAGATAAATAAATTAAAATGTGATTTTAAAAAAGTTCCTCTAAAATGCGGGAAAGAGTAAACAGGTATGACAAACAGGAAAAATAGAGAAATTAAGTAATAAAATGGTAATAATTACTTAAATATAAATTCTCTAGTTTTGTCAATTATTCCTTTACAGTTTGAAGTCATGATATTAAGTTGATATACCATTGAAGTGGATAAGCTTTACTGGCAAAAGAAAACATTAATTATTATGTGTGTCTAGTAATGCTTTCTTGTCTTACCATCTATTTTCCCAATAGTAGTATGGCTACTTTTTGTTTTCTTGCATCTCACTATCAACAGGACATTAATCAGTTTCCTTTATCTTCAAAATATATTCAAATTTTACCAATTTTCACCAAGTTAATGGCTACAATCTTGATTTATATTTGTATTGTACATATTTTCTTTTTATTTAGCTTAAAATATTTTATATTTAAATTTTTCTGCATATTTATGATTTTGTGCATCTCTTGGAAAAGGATATAATTAGATTTAAATTTTTAATCTATTCTATTTTATAATTATTGCCTCTTAAATGAATCATTTATACTTTTAGCTTATTGATGTTTCAAATTTCTAACATCATTTTGTGCTTATCTGACCTTCCTGTTTTATATACATATTTCTATTTTTCTTCATTTTCATTGTATTGTGTTTTAAACATTTCATTTTCTGTTTGTAATTTTAATTATTCCATCTGTTTTTACTTATAACGACATATAATTTATACAGCGTTTTTTTCCCCCACTATTTAAGTGGTTCATTTAGAAATTTCAACGTGTGTGTACTTACTATCAAGTCTAAATTTAATTAATACCTGAATTAGTCCGTTCTCACACTGCTGTAAAGATACTACTAGAGTCTGAGTAATTTATAAGCAAAGGAGGTTCAATCGACTGGTAGTTCTGCATGGCTGGGGAGACCTCAGGAAACTTCCAATCATAGCGGAAGGGGAAGCAGGCATGTCTTAAATGACAGCAGGTGAGAGAGCGCACATGAGAGAGCAGGAAAAACTACCATTTCTAAAACTTGTGAGAATTCACTCACTATCATGAGAACAGCATGGGGGAAACCACCCCCATAATCCAATCACTTCCCTCTCTTCTACACATGGGGATTATGATTCAAGATAAGATTTGGGTGAGAACAAAAAGCCTAAGCATATCAATATCTTAAACACTCTCAGAAGATAAAAAGATCTTGGAATAGTTTAGTAACATGTAGTTCCATCAGGACATATGCTATGATCGCTGAAGATTTTAATTCTATGTTATTTAAACCTCATAGAACATTATTTTAATTATTGTTTTATATAGCATTGCTTGTTTATACTTATCTATAGTTTACAACTTTTTTGACTTCTATTTTTTCTTGCATATCAGACTTAACAAATACTATCACACTATCTGATAGCGTTTGTCTCACATTTATTTCAATGGCTACAGAATTTTAGTTTGAAGATTTTTTCCAGTGCATTGAACATATTATTTCACTATTGTGACTTCCACTGTTTCTATTCTATTGAGAAGTCTGCTTTTAGTCTAATTGGCGCTTCTGAATGTGAACTTTCTTTTTCTCTGGCTGCTCAAAAGAGTTTTTAGTGTGTGTGTGTGTGTGTGTGTGTGAGCACATGCCCATGTACATGCCTTTGTGGAATTCTTTTTATTTTTTAATAATAAGGATTAATTGGGCTCCCTGATTTTCTACATTAGTGTTTTTTGTCAGGTCTCAAAAAAATCTCAGCTACCATTGTTTTAAATACAGCCATGTGTTGCTTAACAATGGGATACATTCTGAGAAATATTTATGTAGCCAATTGCATCATTATGTAAATACCATGTAGCATATTTACACAAACCTAAATGGTATTGCATACTACACACCTAAGCTATAAGGTATAGCCTATTATCCTAGGCTAAAAACCAGACCAGCATGCTACTGTACTGAATGCTATAGGCAATTGTAACACAATGGTAAGTATTTGTGTATCTAAACATATCTAAACATAGAAAAGGGACAGTGAATATATGGTATAAAGGATAAAATATGGTACATCTGTACAGGGCGCTTATTATGAATAGAGCTTGCAGGACTGGAAGTTGCTTTGGGTGAGTAACTGAATGAGTAGTGAGTGAATGAGAAGGCTTAGGACATTTCTGTACACTCTTGTAGGCTTTATAAACACTGTACACTTAGCCTACACTAAATTTACTTTATTTGGTAATAGATTAACCTTAGCTTATTGTGACTTATTTACTTGTAAACTTAAAAATTTCTTAACTTTTTGACTGTTTTGTAATAACAGCTTAAGATACAAATGTACAATCATACAAAAATGTTTTCTTTCTTTATGTCATTATTCTATAAGCTTTTCCTAATAAAACAATTAAAAAAAATTTTTTTTGTTAAAAACTAAGATACAAATACACACCTTAACCTAGGCCTACTCAGGGTCAGGATCATCACTATCACCATTTTCTACTTCCATATTTTGTCCCCCTGGAAGATCTTCAAGGGCAATAGCACATATGGACCTGTCACCTCCTATGATAAGGATGTTTTCTCTTCTGTGATAATTCCTGAAGGACCTGCTGGAGGCTCTTCTTAAAGGAGGTGTCTCTGCAGAAGCATCCATTGTGGTTTGCTTGATTTTTTTCTTTTTTTCATTATAGATTTGCTTGTAAGCAGATAATGTACCACAGACATTCCTGCTCATTAATGCAATCCTTTCAGTATTGGGGTTCATATTTTCAAATACTTTAAGGAGCTTGTTGATGTCTGCAAAAGCTTCTGCTAAACCATTCACTCTGGATTTCCTGAGAAGTTCTTCTTTTTCTTCTCCTGCAGTTTCCTTGTCTCTTTTTTGTTCCTCAGCTATGCATTCTTGTTACAGTTCCAACAGCTCATTAATTAATTCCTCAGGATGAGAAAATTTTCAGCTCCATTATAATCTTATGAGACCACTGTGATATATATGGTTCACTGTTAACCAAAACGTCATTATGTGGCACATAACTGTACTTCCTTTTCTCCTTTATTTAATTTGTCTTCTTTTTAACTTTAGATTCTGTCAATCAGAACTTTCTACTCCATTCTCTATGTCTCTTAACTTCTCTCCTTTATTTTTGACATTTTCTCTCCATGTTTATGCCTTCCAGTTTATTATCAAGTTTAGTAATCAATTCCTAAATATGAGTGATTTTTGTGGTACCCACTCTGAATTCTTAACTTCAGACATTATGTTTCAATATCATCATTTTATTTACTACTTTTTCAAAGTACCTCTTCTCAAGTTACCTTTAATAATTTTTGTTCTGCAGATATTTCTTAGCTTGTCTCATCCAATTTTTAAATATAATATGTACAGGTGGTATTTTTTGGACCCTGTTTCATCTTTGAAATAGCTAAAATTGTTTTGTAACTGTTTTCTGATTTCCTCTGGATGTTGTCTTTGTAGCTCTAAATCACTTAACAGATGTTTAATAAGAGATTACTATATACCAAACACATTTCTAAATACTGGGGATTCAACAGTGAACATCACAATGTTCTGCATTAATGAAATCAAAAGTATCATCTGTAACTTTATTATTGGTCCTTCTAGAGTTTGAGCCCTATGACAACCTTTTAAATATTTGAGTTTAGTAATCATGGCACCTTCTTTATCATCTTTTGTCCATTTGTTCCTTATGATTGACTTTGACCTCCTCCAATATTATGATCATCCTGTGTACTTTGTATATTAAAATTTCCTCTTCTGCCACTGAGCTGCAATTAAAAATAATTTGTTTTATCCAACTGTTCAGAGCCTCCTTATGACATTTTCAGACACTTTGCCTCTACATTTCTTCAACAAAAGTGTAAAAATAAATGAGAGTGTATTTTCAGTTTCCTGTGGATTAATGAGTAGAGATGACTTCTCACAGATTGTATTCATGGTTCAACCCAAATTGCACGTATAGGCTCGACCAACCTACATACTCTATGACATCATAAAACCTTGGATAAGCCCAGAAAAAACAAGTAAATGAACCTACTCAACCTCCTTTTACCTTTATTAAGTGGGCTTCTACATATCTGGATTCTTAATTTGTGAATATTTTCAAGTCTTTATTTCTTTATAATGAATTGTTTGCATTTTTTCTTTCTCTTTTTTTCAGTCTCTGTTTCAGATGATCTGTTCTTATTGTATAGTATTTGGACAGATGATTTATGCATAATCTTGGGTATTCTAATGTTATTCTTCACCCTACTCATTTTTGTTCTACTTTATACTCTGAAAGGTAAGTGAAGCAGCAAGGGTGGGAGCTCCAAGGAAGTATATCCTGTACTTTTATCTGAATCTCTTGAAGGATTAGCTTTCACTCTGAAATATCTGTTAAAGGCTCAAATAACTCTGAAAAAATAGTGGCTTGGGTTATTCACGTTTTCCCTTATTTCAGCAAACTGACAGGAGCATTTTATGACTTACCTACACCTTGCTAATTGCTCATTTCACTATACTGCAAATCTCCCTTTACTTATAAAGAACATGTGTGAGAATCGGCTTTCACCAACTACTTTTAAGAATCAGTGGCACCAGATGACATGATTGTATATTTAGAAAACCCCATCACCTCAGCCCAAAATCTCCTTAAGCTGATAGGGAACTTCAGCAAAGTCTCAGGATACAAAATTAATGTGCAAAAATCACAAGCATTCTTATACACCAGTAACAGACAAACAGAGAGCCAAATCATGAATGAACTTCCATTCACAATTGCTTCAAAGAGAATAAAATACCTAGGAATCCAACTTACAAGGGATGTAAAGAACCTCTTCAAGGAGAACTACAAACCACTGCTCAGTGAAATAAGAGGACACAAACAAATGGAAGAACATACCATGCTCATGGAGAGGAAGAATAAATATTGTGAAAATGGCCATACTGCCCAAGGTATGATTCAATGCCTAGATTCAATGCCATCCCCATCAAGCTACCAATGACTTTCTTCACAAAATTGGAAAAAACTGCTTTAAATTTCATATAGAAGCAAAAAAGAGCCCGCATTGCCAAGACAATCCTAAGTCAAAAGAACAAAGCTGGAGTCATCACGCTACCTGACTTCAAACTATACTACAAGGCTACAGTAACCAAAACAGCATGGTACTGGTACCAAAATGGAGATATAGACCAACGGAACAGAACAGAGTCCTCAGAAATAATACCACACATCAACAGCCATCTGATCTTTGACAAACCTGACAAAAACAAGAAATGGGGAAAGGATTCCCTATTTAATAAATGGTGCTGGGATAATTGGCTAGCCATAAGTAGAAAGCTGAAACTGGATCCTTTCCTTACTCCTTATACAAAAATTAATTCAAGATGGATTAGAGACTTAAATGTTAGACTTAAAACCATAAAAACCCTAGAAGAAAACCTAGGGAATACCATTCAGGACATAGGCATGGGCAAGGACTTCATGTCTAAAACACAAAAAGCAATGACAACAAAAGCCAACATTGACAAATGGGATCTAATTAAGCTAAACAACTTCTGCACAGCAAAAGAAACTACCATCAGAGTGAACAGGCAATCTACAGAATGGGAGAAAATTTTTGCAATCTACTCATCTGACAAAGGGCTAATATCCAGAACCTACAAAGAACTCAAACAAATTTATGAGAAAAAGAAACCCCATCAAAAAGTGGGCAAAAGATATGAACAGACATTTCTCAAAAGAAGACATGCATACAGCCAACAGATACATGAAAAAATGCTCATCATCACTGGCCATCAGAGAAATGCAAATCAAAACCACAGAGATACCATCTCACACCAGTTAGAATGGCAATCATTAAAAAGTCAGGAAATAGCAGGTGCTGGAGAGGATGTGGAGAAACAGGAACACTTTTATACTGTTGATGGGATTGTAAACTGGTTCAACCATTGTGGAAGACAGTATGGCGATTCCTCAAGGATCTAGAACTAGAAATGCCATATGACCCAGCCATCCCATTACTGGGTATATACCCAAAGGATTATAAATCATGCTGCTATAAAGGCACATGCACATGTATGTTTACTGCAGTACTATTCACAATAGCAAAGACTTGGAATCAACCCAAATGTCCATCAGTGACAGACTGGATTAAGAAAATGTGGCACATATACACCATGGAATACTATGCAGCCATAAAAAGGATGAGTTTGTGTCCTTTGTAGGGACATGGATGTAGCTAGAAACCATCACTCTCAGCAAACTATCGCAAGAACAGAAAACCAAACACTGCATGTTCTCACTCATAGGTGGGAATTGAACAATGAGATCACTTGGACTCTGGTAGGGGAACATCACACACCGGGGCCTATTATGGGGAGGGGAGATGGGGGAAGGATGGCATTGGGAGTTACACCTGATGTAAATGATGAGTTGATGGGTGCTGATGAGTTGATGGGTGCAGCACACCAACATGGCACAAGTATACATATGTAACAAACCTGCATTTTATGCACATGTACCCTAGAACTTAAAGTATAATAATAATAATAATAAAAATCAGTGGCACCAGAAAAAGACCCCAGTTCAGTCACACCTTGCTGTTGACCAATTGATTGTTGAACGTTTACTGTAGATCCACAGGAAAGGTTCTCCTTGACATCTCCACTCAACTCTTCCTTCAACTAAAGCTGTGACATGGTAAAGAAGGTACATGTGCAGGGAGGGGCAGCCCACCATTCAAACTGTGAGCAATTCCCATGTAAGAGCTACATGTCAGCCAACTACAAGAAAAAGTTGAGGGAACAGCAAGTCTGTGCTCACACCGAAGCAGGTTTATTTCATACCCTTCTTGTCATGGCTCCAAAACCTGAATTAGTTATGCAGTCATTTTACTTTGTACTTTCTGGGACTAATAAATAAATGTAATCTCTTTAGGGATCTGGGGGCTATACAATGAGAAAAAATGGAGACCACATCTAAACTTCTTGCTACTTGCATTACAATTAAAGAAATTATTTTCTTAATCCAATTGTGTTCTGTCTGGAAAATGTAGATTTTGATCTTGATTTTTGTTGTGTTGCAGACGCCAGTGAGTATAGTTGTGGCCTCTGTGTACACTCCTTCTCCATCTTAATTAAATAGATTTAAAATCAATATGCCATCAATAACACTGATTGCTTCCTTAACAGATTTTGTACAACTATGGACATCAGGGTTCTCATCTGAAACAGAGGAGGCTTGAAGACAGTAGAACCAGTGATGTAAAACATTGAAGAAAAAGCATTTGGATCAAAAGTCTATACTTTTGAGTGAAGTCAAATAATTACCAATGTATAGGAAGAAAATAGAAATTTAAAGATTCTCAATATATCTTCGTTGCAAGTTTACATGAGAATTACCTAATTCAAATGTAATTGCATCAAAATTAGGATCTCAATCTAAAGAATATCTAATATGTAGAAAAGTAATAGCAAATAAACAAATGTATCATAAAATCTAAATATTTCCCTGAAATAAAGTAAATATATGAAAATCAGAAGTGTAAATGACTAAAATCTCTGGTTTTTAAATTGAGACTAAAATGGGATAAAATAACAAAATAAAAGATGTTTGGTTTTCAGGACATATGCTTAAAACTTAACGAGAGGGAAAGGTGGAGCAAGGTGGTTGAATAGAAGCCTTCAGCAATTGTACTCCCTGTAGGAACACCAAATTGAAGAACTATCTACTCAGAAAAGTACTTTCATAAGAACCAAAAATCAAGTGAGTGATCAGAGTAACTGGTTTTAACATCATATTCAGGAAAGAGGCACTGAAGAGTGTAGAAAAGACAGTCTTGAACTGCCTGCACATCCTTCCCCCATTGCCTAGCAATGGTCATGCGGCATTGAGAGAGAATCTGTGTGCTTAAAGGAGGGAGAGCACAGTGACTGTGCTATTTTGTATTGGAACTCAGTGCTTTCCTGACAGAGTGGAAAGCAACACAGGGCAGAATTCAGCTGGTGCCCAGAACCCAAGGAGGGAACATTTAGACCAGTCCCAGCCAGAGGCAAATTATTCATCTCAGTAGCTGGAACCTGAGTTCTGGCAAGTCCTAATACCATGGGCTTAAGAGCCCTTGAAAGACTATCTCAGTTACAAGGGCTGCAGTTCCTGGGAAAGTCCTCGTGCTGTGCAGGGCTTGGAGCCAGTGGACTTGGGGTATAAGTGACTTAGTGAGACACCAGCCGGATGGCCAAGGGAGTGCATGTGTGACTTCTCCTCCAAAGACAAGCAGTGAAGCTCATAATTCCAGGAGACACTCTTTCCTTCTACTTAAGGAGAGGAGGTGGGGGAGTAAAGAGAACTTTGTGTTACAACTTAGATACCAGCTTAGTCACAGTAGAACAGGGCATCAGGCAGGGTTCTGAGGTCCCCCTTTCATCCTGTATCCCTTGAACGACCTTTATAAACACTCTGGGCTGGAAAGGCACTTCCTACCTTAAAGGGAAGAACCCCATCCTAGGAGGATTCACCACCTGCTAACTAAAGAGCCTTTGGTCCCTGAGTAATTTGTAGTGGCAGCCAGATAGTACTTGTCACAGGCCTTGGTAAAGACTTAGAGCCATACTGGCTTCAGGTGTGACCCAGAACATTCCCAACTGTGGTGGCTACAGGGAGAGACCCCTTCTGTTTGAGAAAAGGAAAGTTGAGGGGACTTTGTCTTGCAGCTTGGGTACTAGCTGGGCTTTGGGGGTCTCCAATTCCAGGACTTGGCTTTTGGATGGCATTTCTGCACCTGCCCTGGGCCAAAGGGGAGCCCACTCCCCTTAAGGGAGACACTCGAGACTTGCAGCAATTGACACAAGCTGACTGAAAAGCCCTTGGGTCTTGAGTGAGCACTGACAGTAGCCAGACAGTACTTGCCACAGACCTGGGGTGGTGGTCGCCATGGGGAGAGACTCCTCTGCTTGAGAAAAGGTGAGGGAAAAGTGGGAAGGATTTTGTCTTGTGGCATAAGTGCCAGCTCAGCTGCAACAGCATAGAGCACCAGGTCAATTCCTAAGGTTTCTGACTCCAGGCCCCGGCTCCCAGATAGCATCTCTGGACCCACGTGGGAATAAGGGAAACTTGCTGCCCCGAAGGGAAGAATGCAAGCATGGATGAATTTGCCAATTGCTGATTATAGAGTCCTTGGACCTTCGGTAAACATAGCCAGTAGCCAGCCAGTGGTCACTGCAGGCCTTGGGTGACAGCCAGTACTGTGCTGGCTTCAGGCCTGATGCAGCATAGCCCCAGTAGTGGTAGCCACAGTGGTGCTTGTGTCACTCCTCCCTCAGCAACAGGCAGCTCAACAAGGAGATAGACTGTTTGGGGGAAAGTAAGGGGAGAGAACAAGAATCTTTGCTTGGTAATTCAGGAAATTCTCCCAGATCTTACCAAAGACCACCAAGGTGGCACATCTACGAGTTTGCAAGAGCCACAGCATTAATGGGCTTGGGGTACACCTTAAAATAGATATGCTACAGTGAACAAAGACTTAGATAACATTATCCAAATTCCTCTGAATACATGGAAAGCTTTCTCAAGAAGAGCTGGTACACACAAGCCCAGACTGTGAAGATTACAGAAGATACCTACCTTTCCAATGCCCAGACACTGACAAACATCTACAAGCATCAAGACAATCCAGAAAGTATTAGTTTTTCCCATACTGTTAATAAAGACATACCCAAGACTGGGTAATTTATAAAGGAAAGAGGTTTAATTGACTCAGTTTCACATGGCTGGGGAGGCCTCACAATCATGGTGGAAGGCAAAGGGGAAGCAAGACACATCTTGATGGCAGACAAGAGAGCTTGTGTAGGGAAATTCCTCTTTATAAAACAATCAGATCTTGTAAGATTTACTATTATGAGAACAGCACAGGAAAAACCCACCCGTAGGATTCAATTATATCCCACTGGGTTCCTCTCATGACATGTGAGGATTGTTAAAATTCAAGGTGATATTTGGGTGGGGGAAACAGAGCTAAACCATATCACAGAAGAACATGACTTTTCCTTCATGGAGAAACAGAGATATGTGACTTTTCAGACAGAGAACTCAAAATAGCTGTTTTGAAGAAACTCAAAGAAATTTAACGTAACACAGAAAAAAAAATTCAGAATTCTATCAGATAAATGTAACAAGGAGATTAAAATAATTTTTAAAAATGGAGCAGAAATTCTGAAGCTGAAAAATGCAGTTGTCATACTAAAGAATCAGAGTCTATTAATAGCAGAATTGATCAAGCAGAAGAAAAAATTAGTTAACTTGAAGACTGCTGAATTCTACCAAACATTTAAAGAACTAATACTAATTATACTCAAAGTATTCCGAAAAACTTCTAAACTCAAGACCAGTATTATGCTGATACCAAAACCAGACAATGACAAATAAAAAAGAATTACAGGTCAATGTCTCTGATGAATATTGATGAAAAAAATACTTAACAAAATATTAGCAAATCAAATTCAACAACACATTAAAATGGTTATTCATCATGACCAAGTGGGATATATTCAGGGATGAAAGAATCATTTAACATACATAAATCAATCAATGTAATACATCATATCAATAGAATAAAGGGAAAAAGCATTTGATAAAAAAACTAAATATAGAAAGAACATACATCAACGTAATAAAAGCCATATACAACAGACCCATAGCTAGTATCATACTGAATGGGGAATAACTGAAAGCCTTTTCTCTAAGATCCGGAACACAACCAGGATGCCCATTGTCACCACTGTTATTTAAGATAGTACTGGAAATTCTATCTAGAACAATCAAACACAGGAAGAAAACAAAGGGCATCCAAACAGGAAAGGACGAAGCCAAATTATCCTAGTTTGCAGATGATACAATCTAATGTTTGGAAAAACCTAAAGACTCTACCACAAACCTATTAGAACCAATAAATTCAGTAAAGTTGCAGGATACAAAATCAATATATAAAAATCAATAGCATTGCTATATGCCAAACAGTGAACAATCTGAAAACAAAATCAAGAAAGTAATCCCATTAACAATAGCTACACATAAAATAAAATAGCTAGAAATAAATTAACTTAACCAAAGAAGTGAAAGATCTCTCTGATGAAAAGCATAAATTGTTGATTCAAGTAATTGGAAAGGACACTGTTAAAAAATAAAAAGGAAAGGTGTTTCATGTTCATGGTTTGGAATAATGAATATTGTTAAACTGTTTATGCTATCCAAAGCAATCTACATATTTAATGCAATTGTTATTTAAACACCAATAACAAAGGCCAGATGTGGTGGCTCATGCCTGTACTCCCAGCACTTTGGGAGGCCAAGGTGGGTGGATCACTTGCGGTTAGGAGTTTGAGACCAGCTTGGCCAATACAGTGAAACCCTATCTCTACTAAAAATACAAAAATCAGCTGGGCATGGTGGCAGGTATCTGTAATCTCAGCTACTCAGGAGGCTGAGGCAGGAGAATCACTTGAACCCAGGGGACAAATGTAAAAACCAATGACATTCTTCACAGAAATAGTAAAAACAATGCTAATATTTATATGGAACCACAAAGACCCAGAATAGCCAAAGCTATCCTAAGCAAAAAGAACCAAACTGGAGGAATCACAATACCTTATTTCAAATTGTGCTACAGAGCTATAGTAACCAAAATGACATGGTACTAGTATAAACACAGGTCCATAAACTAATGGAACAGAATAGAGAACCCAGTTAAATAACCATGCATCTACAGTGAGCTCATTTTTGACAAAGGTGTGCAGAACACACACTGGAGAAAAGACAAGCTTGTTCAATAAATGGTGCCAAGAATACTGGATATACATATGCAGAAGAATGAAACTAGATCCCTATTTCTCTCAATATGCAAAAATCCAATTAAAATGGATTAAAGACTTACATCTAAGACCTCAACTTATAAAATTACTAAATTAAAACATCAAGGAATCTCTCCATTACATTGGAGTGAGCAAAAACTTCTTGAGTAATACCCCACAGGTATAAGCAACCAAAGCAAAAGTGAACAAATGGGATTACATCAAGTTAAAAAGCTTCTGCACAGCAAGGGAAGCAATCAAAATAGTGAAGACACAACCCACAGAATGGGAGAAAATATCTGCAAACTATTCATTTGACAAGGGATTAATAACCAGAATATATATATTAAAAGACAACTCTATAAAAAGAATTTTAATAATCTGATTAAAAAAACTGGAAAAAGACCTCAATAGACATTTCCAAAAGAAGATATAAGAATAGTAAATAGGTATGTGAAAAGATGCTCAACATAATTGACCATCAGAGAAAGGCAAATCAGAACTACAATGAAATATCATGTCACTCCAGGTGCTGGAGAGGATGTGGAAAATTGGAAAACCTCATACACCGTTGGTGGGAATGTAAATCAGTACAACCACTATGGAGAACAGTTTGAAGGTTCTTCAAAATGTTAAAAGTAGGAAGTCAAATTGTCTCTGTTTGCAGATGACATGATCGTATATTTGGAAAACC